ATTTAACATTAAATGTAGTAAACTTAAGAAATTGGCCCTGGAATTTCCTCAATAAGGAATTTTATAACGTTATTATCTGTTTTTTAACAATTTTGTATAAGATTCAGAGCTGCCCAAATCTACACGGAATCTCTTGACAAAAAACAAAGCACGCAGAAGGCAGGATCGAAGTAACGGGTTGACAAGACCAGCGCCAGCCGTCGTACAGGGGCTTGAAGATTTGTGCCTATATATAAAAAGCCGTTTAATCGTTTGTAAAATAGAATAAGTGGTCAAAACTTTTAAATTTCATGTCGAAAGTTCTCCCAAACTTAGAAGTTTATTCAATTGAAAACGTCAAAAAGTATTAATAAAAATATGAATTTGAAAATATTAATACAAATATTTTCGATTAACAATAATATATAATATATAAAAGTATAATGATAAAACTATGACATTTTTATTTAATCAATTTATCAGGCACTTCTTGAACTATCGTCCATGTGGGCAGAGATATATTATGAAATAATAGGTTAAACAGAGACAATATTTAAAGTTTTATATAAGATTTTCTCTTTATCACTAAACCTACGGAAATAATAAACCTACGTTACCTCTGCATTAGTAACGATATATTACAAAGTAATTGATTCAAGAGTGACAATATATACAATTTTATACAAGATATCCCCAGTACGAACAAAGATATGATGTAATGAAGTGGAATCAAACCATCAAAACAAATTTCGGCTCGATATGTGACAGTTTACCTAAAGAATCATTTTTACGAGTAAACATGACATAGAAAACTAGAATAATAGACCGTGTACTGATGAAAATGTAAGCATGTATATGTATGTATTTTTCCGCGTCATTTAGGACAAGTGGCGTATATTAGGCGTATTAATATTTAAATTTCGGCAATAAAGCACAACGAAGGTACTTTTATTCATCCATTATGTATTGATAAAAGTCTGCAGAGCACCGACAGTCTCAGGTCAACGACAGAAGTATTCTACAAGAGTCTGGCAGTCTCACGTCACTGACAGAAGTATTCTGCAAGAGTCTGGCAGGCGATATCAATAGATGTAGATGTAGTAATTAAGTAAACAAATAAATGACAGAATCAATAAATTGCAAAGACAATTCTTTTTGTCAAGAAGAGCAGCAAAGCCAGCGTGACAAGAGGCTATAGCCTGCAGCTGCCCTACACTTGGAGTGAAGATGAGCTTTAATGAGTGTATGATTTCATTTGTTTGCATTTCTGGAGCTTGTAGAGTCTAGTTCATGTTGGATATTTTGGTAGCCCAATATTTATTTGCGAGCTCTAAATTTTCGAGTACAACGTGTTTTCGTATCCAGTTTACCGGGGTGGATAGCTACCCAGTTAAAATTTAGGGCAGGGAATAGAGCAGGCCGTCGCCGGCTGCAGAGCCGGCGTAGAGACGCAACAGAGCAGCGATAGAGCAGAAATGTCCGCTTTAGAGACGATATCGCCAGCCGCGTATCAGCGCTAATTAGCTTCTGAGTACCTGCCCAGGTGTGCTCTGCCCTGCCTCTCCTAACGTAACCTAACCTAACCTAACCTAACATGCGCCGCCTATTGCGGTAGGACCTGTTGCGCTCCGGCCAGTTGGGCTCCGGCGCTGTGAAGCAGTGGCTGTGTTGTGCAAAGCGGATTTACTGTTAGCCGGAGTTACCCACAGCTCATTGATCTGAGGCTATGTGTAGATATTGAATGCTGATGGTTGGCGTTGGGCCTAGGGCCTGTTTACGAGTCAATTTTGTAACCCACGGCTGCGCTCCCGTTTACCGTCCGTAGCTCTTATTTTAAATCGAAATAAATTTTCACAACGGCAAAATTTAACTTTGCAAGCGACGATAATTAATTCGACGTTTAACTTTTTGGAAGCTTGAAGATTTGAGTGAAATAAAGGAAATATTTCGTGTAAATCAGTTTTGTATCCTTGACGACTGACTAATTATTATTTCAAGATCTTTGGGTGTCAGATCAAGAAGACGAGTTTAACTTGTAGCGAGCACCGGAATTGCGAACTGAAGTCGGGTAGATCTTGCGTAGCAATTCAAGATTTAACAACCTTCGTGTGATGAATGAGCAGTAGACTAGCTACACACTGGCAATGATCACCTAAAATTTTAATTTAGGAGTGTGATGACCTATTTTTTGTAATTGAATTTTAGGACTTCGGGTGTGAGAAAATCACCCTACCCAACCGGAGTACAAGCGGATTTTTACTAAATACTGTGTTGTATAGTACCAAGATAGTGTTCTGAGTACCAAGATTGGAGCAGAGAGGTTCGTGTTCGAACCCAGCTGGCTCTGTGCGACAGTTCCACAGAATTGGCAAGGAGGGTGGGCGGTTATATAAAGCAGAACTGGAGCAGTGGGTTGCGTGTTCGAGACCGCAACAATCTGTGAACGTTCTGCGATGTTAAGAATTGGCGGCAGCAGACCTACGGCCTAATAAGTGCTGAAACGGCTAAAAACATAATGCCACTTTTGCTTCCATTTGAATTACTGTCACAACCTCACAGAGAGGTGGTTGTTGTGTGGAAGAAGAAACAACTGAATCAGGCACTGAATATTTTCAAAGGGTATTCAACATCCCAGCAGGTGTTGTTCAAGGTTACGAATAAAAGTAGTTATTTTTATAGGAACTTCCCCTTAACTAAGAGCCGAGATGAGGTTCCAAAGAAAGGAAAAGTTCTCCAATTTTGAGCGAAACTCCCGCCTCTCATTGGTGAAGATTGACCAGCCCAAGATGAAATGACTAACTGTGCTTTCCATGTTGCACTCCATGCATGTTTGCATGTTTTCCATGCATAAATTTCTGAATTTGAAGAACGATCGAGAGATAGGAGCCACCAGACGAGAAAGAAAGAAGCTGCAGGGCTGCTTGCGAATGGGACAAGATCAAAGCCTCCATACTTTGCAGAGATCCATCAGTGGTGAGCTGCATGGCCTCATGTATAGCAAATAATTCAGCCACTAGTGCCGTGTACGTAGGAATCAGCCGCCACCTAGTGGCCAAGTATATAGGCCAGCAGAGACAGGTCCAGTAGCAGAACGCGATCCGTCGGCATGGACTTTCAAATGTTGAGGAGAAAACTGTATCCAGAAATCTTGAGAGCAATTCTCTGCGAGTTCAGGAGGCATTGAATTGACTGTAGAGCTCAGCAAGTGCGGGCAAATGCTGGAGGAAAGATAGACATTAGTTGTAAATGTGGACATCAATGTTGTTGGAACTTGCAGCTGGGGCGGAATGTTTGGCTTCTGAAAACTTTGACGTGCTTCTACAATGAAGAGCGTTGCCACAAGGATCTCCTGACTCAGGAACCTTAACATGGATGCTACTTGATCCACTGACGACATACACATACACTTCAACCTAACATTGACTTCTCCGAGGCTCTTTTTTCATTTATTTCAAACATTCATGAATATGAACAGTCGTGGCGTAATGCGGACAGGTATAGAATTGATATAGAAAAAAGGTGCAAGCATCTTTGGTCCTCCGAACAAAATTACGAATCGTGATCCCAGGAATTAGTAATTTGTCTGCGTCCCGTCTCTTAGGCGAGGCCAAATTCATCACATAGAAAATTGTTCAACACAGAACCACCGAGAGCTGTTGCTGTGTCATCCACAGTGCGCAATGAACGAGTTTACTGCGCTCAAAATTCACATTAATCTACTTCTGGGCTGTCAGTCAACATAATATACAAGAATATATGATTTTCAACCGTGATGCAACAACGTAAATCATCGTGAGCACGTTCGCCACCGTGCGCAGATCATGTAGTACAATTAATGCATTTTCCCTAAAGCAATGTCATTATAATAAATAATTAAGTATTTATGCTTGGGAATCTTATATCGACGATGCAAAACTTTGAGGTGCTGAGGTGGGCGGGATATGTCGTCTGTGGTCCATCTTTGCAGGCGATGAACTTTGCTAGAAGTGATCAAACATCGCTTGGTCTATAACTTATATGCTTTACAAAACGGAGTTTCACTGAGCATTCGAAGTGGTTCTGCAAATAGGATTTTAGTTGCTTATTTCACTAAAAAGGGTGCGAGCTTTACGTCAAAGCCCTGGATAAATCTTCACTAAACCGAGGCGTTCACCGCAACCGTTAGTCTATTCAAAGTCCACAGAAGATTGCAGATTCGTGGTCTGCCTTTGAGATCTGATCCTCTCACTGCGATGTCTAGTTCGGCTACTTTGTTTGTAATAATTATAGATTTGGCTACTGACTATTGAATCATGTTTACCTTCTTTATTTTCTGTTGATCAAATTAAAAAAAAAAACATTTCTTTTTTCAATTAGGATAGACTGGAAAATTTTGAACGGGTATAAAATCAACTACTCGTACATGTGAACTAATTATTTATTGCAAACAATAAAACTTTGTTATGCAAGTAATCCACTCCACAAGTATAATTCTGATAGTAAATACACATGATAACACAACCAAATGCCCATATGCAATTTTCTAATACGAATAAGACAACATTAATTTGGGATGAACCTGTGGATGCGCTGGAATTACAATGAAATAAATATATTTGTTACAGAGATGAATAAGCAAATTCTTGTATATGCAAAACACGAAACGTAAGCAAAATTATTGTAACTTGTCTGAGTTTGGAAATAAATTAATTTTACAATATGCTCTGACCTCGTACGTTGGCATCTTGGTACAAAAAAATACGATATTCTATGATGATTGGAGTGAGCTGTGCGCCACAGCTCTAGCTCCATGCGCCACTGCTCTAGTTCTATGCTCCATTATTCTAGTTCAAGGATCCAAAGCTCTAGCTCTAGGCACCACAGCTATATAGTTCTAGGTGCCACAACCCCACTTCCATTTGTTACAGCTCTAGTTGCTAGTGCCACAGCTCTAGTTGTAAGTGCCACAGCTCTAGTTGTAAGTGCCACAGCTCTAGTTTTAAATGCTTCAGCTGCAGTTCTAGAGGGGCACAACCTCTTATCTAGACGGGGTCAGCCTCGCAAATGACACGTCGCACGTTGCTGCACGCGGTGCTGCTAAAGCGGTACATGAAGGCAGAGCTCAGCTCCAGGCAGTTCTCCACGCCGGGGTTGTCGGGCTCCAGCGTCCCTCCACCACTCTGTAGTGAAAACCAATCAACAATTAAAAATGCTTTACTCCAAGAACATGAATAATAGTGTGAAGAAATTGAGTACTTCTTGGGCACTTTCGCTCGTAGAATTCCTTACTTTACAGCTTATATTCAATTTTTTGTAGTGATTTGTTGCTTCCTCGCAACTCACTACAGACTAAAAATTGTCATAAAAGGACGACAATTATTTAATAAATGAGTTGGTAATTCGAAATCCAATGCAGTTTTTGCCTACAAAAAACAATGAATTTCATTTGTGATGAACTGTTTACAACACAGGAAGATTCGTCTTAATTTGCATCCATTTATCATCTGTACAAGATACAACTTCAATGAATGACGAGCAATACATCCTTTGGGTAAGTGGTTCCGTGCTCCACAAAGGACAGAAAAAATTACTACGTTTGCTTCGGATTTGTTTGCGTCAGTAAATATTTTTGCTATCTTTTCAAAATGGTTTGAATAATTTTGCGCAAATAAGTGAAACTATTTACGTTGACTCAAGACTTACGTTCTTTTCGGACAAACTTGGCACTCTCATACGTACAAGCCCGTATGGAAGAGGAGTTAGTACGGCAAAGGCCGCTTAACATAGCGCCAAGTGGGCAACTATCCTGGGGATTTTTAATTGAACGCGATGATTGCAAAAAGACTCATCATATTTGGCGTATGTTTGCCACATAAATGTGACTAAATAATATACATGAAGGTTTTATTTCCACCGTTTTCTTACTGATCATAGTAACATGTAAGCCCCAGTTTGCTCACCGTTCCCCAGTACGGCAGCCCCAAGGACAGAGGTGAACCGTCAATCCAGCGCCACTGCCCCTCCAGCACTTCGTCAGAGACGCCAATCCAATATCCAAGAGGGTCGTGGCCTGATTATGGCAAGTAAATTAGAACAGTCATAATTTTAAATTGGAGCATGTATTCGATGTAACTTTAAAACAAATGAAATTTTCGGCCTAGGCGGCCAAAAGCTCTAACTTTGCTGGAACAACTTAGCATTCCTATATGACCAAAAATTATAGGCATTCTTATAATGGATTACAGATAGTTGCTGAAACAGCATTTCACTTCATAAGAAGGCCAACGCAAGGTTAAGAAGTACTTCCGCCACTTGTAAAATTTCCATTTATAGATAGAAGGATATCGTATGATAAGGATGATAGTATGATAGTATATAATGTGAGCAAACTAGAACATGTCTCAATTCAAAAGTTTCTGCTAAGATCACAACATCAGCCATATAAAATCAGGATGAGAATAAACAATTCTGTTGGCAAATTTTCAAGTTGAATTCTTCAAAAATGACTTGCGTAAGAAAACGTTATACAAAAGGAATACAATACATTCGTCAATAAATCTATCACATAGAAATACCAGAGATCTCTTGATCGTAGAAGTAGTCGGATATGTTTGCAAGAAGATTGTTGGCCGATAACCGAGTAGAGTACGGAGACGAAGGGAGTAGTGGTATCTCACGTGCCGGCAACTTGCGCTGCCTCCCACTTATGCTGCACCTCCGATGTCTCCGTACAAATTCAGACTAGAGTCAAGCTCAACAGGGTCTTCTTTCCCGGCTGTGTTCATGCAAGTCCGTTCCCTTCAGAAAATCGATTACCTTGGGTGATGGCTCCCTCGGCTTCAGCCCATCATAATGTATGTGTTATCATATTACTAATAGTTTAACATCAATCCCAAGCTGGCATTAATCTTCAGTTAAACTAGTAAATAAGAACATGTGTCGTGCAAATTCATAGAGCCCACGAACATTAGTAATTGGCTTTCCTTTATTACGAGATATTTCCGTATATTTACCGTTGTCATTATTTAAAAAATTACCATATTTGTTGTTTGTGCACATAATTGAGCCTTTGCTCCTATCATTATTCATATCATATTAGTGCTCAACGGTGTATGACGTAACGAGGACCGTTAGAGATGTCAAATATTAAGGTTCTACGTCTGGGCCAAGTGCCTTACAAATCTTAGGAAAGTCGATGTATATTTTTGGGGCAAATAATACAATCTTCAACTACCACAGTTTTAAAATTATTCATAGTTAGATTTTTGAACTGTTTTTATCTTCCTCTTATTATGTTTTCCTGTGTTATAAATGAACATATCAAAGTACTTGTCTTGACTCGAGAATACTGGTGACAGAGTTGGTTTCGGTTACAATGCCCCTAAAAATGTATTTTAAAATTGAATTCACTTCTAATTTGGATCCTGTTAAATATCCCTTCAAAGTAAATAAAAACAAAATGATCTCAAACCCATGCTGGTCGAGGGCAAGGTACGCAACAAAGTGATCTCAAACCCTTGCTCTTCGAGGTAGAGGTGCACAGCGAAGTGGTAGAGGTAGAGGTGCACAGCGAAGTGATCTCAAACCATGTGGGTGGTTACCTTNCCAGCAGCTATCTCAATCAATCGTCAGCTATGGAAAGATCGGGTTCCAAAGGCCGGATCCCTTGTGAATCAAGTCACGAAAAGTTCAAGAATCGGCAACAGGCCATGGGCCTATTTCTTCAGCGCCGACACTTCTATTCTATTCTATTCTAATTTCCAGGGTAAGCAAGTCTGGCTGTTCGACAAAACAACTCTATTCCCAACCGCGAATTTTTTTTTAATAAGAAAAATAATTTTTATGTTATTACTTCTGATGATCAAATCTTGAATATTGTTAGGCTGCATAAGCATGCATGCCAAATTTCAAGTTTCTATGATCTTCAGAAGTGCTCTAAATTAAGGTTTTAATTTTTGACGACAGACAGACAGAGACGAAACGAAACTAAGAAAACGTGGTAATAGACTATACAAGGCCATGCAGGAGCATATATATAGTCTTGAAATGCCTCGTATCCTACGGAACAACTGAAATCTAGAAACGATGTTAAACCTACCGTCCGTTGAAAAAAATTGATCAAAAGGCCAGTCTAGTCAAGAAAAATACAAAAATCGGCGACAGGCCCATCAAGGCCTATTCTTCAATGCCGAAGATACTATACTATACTACTATACTAATATCTCTGGTCAATGATGTAAGCAATATCCATGGATTCAAGTCTTGTTGAAACCGCCGTGCTGTTGTTAATGGGCGACAGGAACATGAAACTTTGCTTCCGCCACTTCGGTGCTCTCTGGTCGATAGTCATGTTCATTCCTCCAGCACACTTATCTTTAAATCGCTAGTATCGTGGCCTATATTCCAAACAAGGTTATGATTCAAGGGTTATGCAACTCTCCATCAATTTTGCTAAGTGTCAGTCGTATATCGGCTATAAGCAATGCAGATGTTTTTGAGGACATTGGTGGTTTTGTTCTTATGTTACCATGGCCAAATGCTCTATTCAATGTGTTCTAGTGAATAGGTCTAATTTCAGAGTACTCACCATCTATTGGAGCTTTTGAGCACAAGGGATAAGTTTCTCTCTCAACGTCACATCTGACATCTTGAACTGTCCAGCCCCCACTCGGTAGAATGTTAGCGCAGTTCTCCGCCTCCGGGTTGCAACAAGGTTCCACCAATGAACCGTTCGAAGAATGCTGCGGGGACAAGATAATTATGACGTTATATTCAGCAATTGTTTATCACTTAACTTATAAAAAGTAACTCATCACCTAAGTTATTACAAGGCCAAACCAAACATGCGGCGTGTTTTAAAATTATTAAACGACAGATGAGTATTTAGATCACTTGCTATCTGGGATTTTAAATTGGTTGCAAATCATGTTTGTGTCGATAGAAAGCTGTAATGCGAATAGCAAGAGTCCAAATGTTGAACCAAAGGGTCCCGCTGAAATGTGGATCAACAGTGAGTTTGTCACACATCGAATTCGAAGAACACTACCAAACACTGCAGTCAATCATTAAAAGATTATTCAATATCTTTTGATCAATGGAAGTCACTCACATAGGCCCAGTACGGAGCGCCCATGGCCACGGCGGTGCCGTCGCTCCACTGCCAGACGCCATTGGCGGACGGGCTGGTGGCGCCTAACCAGTAGCCCTTGTAGGCGTCCGCTGAGTCTGATGCAAGAAGTCGTATATAAGTTAATGTTTAACGCTTCAAACTCTGGAGAATGTTGCATATTGTGTTAAATTTTGAATGTTCGTGACGTTATAATCTTACAGCCATCGTCGACATAAGTGGCGACATTGGTGAAGGTGGCGCAGTCAGGCAGTACGGGCAGCCTGCCGGAGATCTCGTGGCAGTAAGTGACCGCGTTGTCGTACGTAAGATATCCTCCGATCAAGCGGTGGATGCACTTGGACCCAACGACCTCATAGTCAGAGGGGCACTCGGCCCTCGCTGTGCCTGCAGTGGCATGCGTTATCATTACACAATAGATATCTTCGTGCAACAAACATGCAACGGGATGATGTAACCTCAATATATTTGATCAAACCACCATCACCACCAGCAATTTATGCCCTGGTGGCACATCAGCACTGTAACTATGTTCTCATAAGGCGTCGGACAATGACAGTTAAATGTTAAATTGAAAAAGGGATCAAATTACAAACATAATAATTACCTAATACAGATTTCTGTCGAAGTTTTAAATTCCTTTAATTTTGCCTCCACAATTTTTTGCGTGTAAGTTAGCACTCACCGAGGACAAGCATGAGCAGGCAGATGATCTGCATCACAAACATGATGTGTCAACAAAATAACCTGAGTATGAGTCAAATTTGACAGACAGAATGGATGTTTGGAAGCTGAATTTCAACTAAAAGAGGAATAGAAACATACACTGTGTAAAGGCATTAGTAGAGGTATTCTCTGCTGTGCAGAGCCTAATCACCGGCTGCATTTATAGCGGTAACTGGCCGTCTGTTGGGACCCACGGTCAGGTCGATATCGTGGAAAAGCAGCACAGTTATCGTGTGTTATTTTTAACGGAACAGCAGCATATTTATTTTAATTACCCGAGCATCAAGTGCAGGTGGTAATTTAATATCTGTAAATGAGGAAAAAAATCATAATCGTTGATCGCTGATGATGCAGTGATAATGTGGTGACGATATAATGGTAATGATGATGCTGTGAAAAGAAAATATCGTGTAAATATCAACAATTAATATTCTAAGCAGCTCTGTAATGTTTCGAGATCTTTACAACACTTAACTTTTATCAGTGAAGGAAATGATTTGTTTCATATTTACATGACTTAACCTCGAATGAATAAAACAAATAACTCGCAAAATGCTTAAGTTGTTTGCCAAATGATGGCTCGAATGGACCGTAATTTGATTACATCTCTTCTGCGTAAAATCAAAGAGCCTAGCGAAGACGATTCCATGAATTATAGACCAGCGAGGTGCACATTATCTTCAATTCAGAGTGCGGCAGATAAGTGCTCCATATACAGCCGGCAACATCAAAAATAAGCAGATTGCGGACACGTATCTACGAAGGCCACTTTTCCTCTGTCCGCTATCGCTAGCTGTCACTTTATCGGTTAAGCGTTCCTAGTTCATATTGTTTTTATATATGTTCTTGTGATTATCTGATATTTGTCTCAAACTTGCCAACGTTTCTATTATGTATTCAATTTCCATGTTTTATGCAGATTTATTCAATAACTTCCACTGCTCCATTCATTCACTAATAAACGATGAAGCGAAATTAGTTTACAATTAATGAACTCCTTTTAAGCTAAGCTTTCAAGCTCAGCACGTCAGGAGGTATAATTAGCGCTGAACTGTTCTAGGCATAGCTTCCTTCGGGGAAGGCGTTACACTCCAATTATATTATCTATATTGCATTACCCGTAAAGTTAATTGAACTGCCGTGCTGAGTTTGCATAAATAGAATGCATATATTTATAATTGGAGGTCCGAGGCAATGATCTCCGCGTAATTTGATCAATTTTTATTCTATTTCAGAGGGACGACTGTAGTAATACCATCGAATTTCCCAGCCCAGGCTGGTCTTTGCCGAGCCCATTACGAATTCTATACCTTATTATGTATTTATATATTGCGTGACTAGGGAACTGGTAGAATGTCCATCGCAGCTAATTATCTAGCTTAACTAGAGGTAAGTGGTGGTACAGGTAGACATAAGGACAATTATTAAATTATTTAATATACTAAAAAATTGACATCACTTGCATGTTTGCTTAAATCGCTATTAAATAAGAATTTAAATGCAAAGAATATAGTCCACAGAAATTCATACATCTTTATAGAAAACTTTTCGGAGACCAGCTCCATCGTCAGTTCGCAGAATCTAGAATCACAAATCAGAAGTCACAAATTAATACATTGAAAGCACAACAGAATTAAAAACCTAATTTACAAGTAATAGACGGAGCACAAAAAAACTATCTTTTCACAATTTTAAGGGGATAATAGCTACCAGCTGAATTCAAACTGGGCCTAAGTTTAAAGATGTACAATAATTCTAAAACGCGCAAATCGGAAGTCCCGGAGGGGGAGCTAACACCCTAAAGTCTCTGTCAGAAATAGGGACATCATACAGCTCGGCGTGAGCGCGCACAGCCGAATGAGGGGGGCGCGATAGCAACTGTTCGGTCCTACAACTCCTGCCCTTATGCTCAGCGACCCTGGAATAAAGATTACGTGGCGTCATCCCGACGTACGCAGATGCATATCGTGCACAAAAAGATTGATAAACCAGGGACGATCGGATATGGACAGGGAGCATATCTCCATATCGAAAGAAAGAACCGATTGTGGAATTGTTTACCAGTACAAGATGAAGATTAACATTTAGGAAGTATCGATTGAACAAGACTTTTAATTCTCTTGACATAGCTTCGGACGCTGGGCCGAAGTATGGAAAAGAACAATAAATAACTTTCCAACTATCACGCTCAGGAGCAACCTCACTGTATCGCTTTGACATGAATTTCTTGATTTGGGTATCGTAAAAATTCAAATTCAGCGTGCATAGCCTGGTATGTTGAACAAATGCGAAAACTTCTGTGTAATAATGTTTGAAACCTATTTAACTTGAATCGGAACGAACAAAAACTAAAGAAACTGGTACTTAGGCCGGTGAAAGTCGGTTTTCGGTACACAGAAGTCAGAAAGCGGCCATTAGATTTGGTAACATAGCAACCGAGGAAGGACAAACTATTGTTAGATTCAAGCTCCATAGTAAATTTGATAGAAATATGTTGCGAGTTTACGTAATCAAAGAATGGTTTGACATGAGAAGGATGTTTGAAAATGAAAAAGGTGTCATCGACTTATCTGTTATACAATATTGGCTTAAATCTAGAGGACAATTGGCCAGCCAAGAAACCTCGTGAAAACCCATGAAAATATTTGCGAAAGTCGGGCCAAGCGGAAGTCCCATGTCTAAACCGTCAATCTGTCTATAAAACTTGCCAGCGAATATGAAAAACGAGTTAAGAACTGGTAATTCTAAAAGAGATTTGAAAAGTTTACGGTTTAAACCAATCACATAATCATTAATATCTTTAAACAGTGAATTGAGGCAAATATCAATTGTTTCGTGAAGGGGTATTTTGGTAAACGAAATTTTTACATCAAATGAGGCCATAGTTAAATCCTGAACGTCGGTAAAATTCTTCAAGCGATCAAAAAACGCATAAGAATTATCAACAGTATACTAATTAGTCGTAAACAGTTTAAAACTGGTACCAGAAATTTAGCAAGTTTAAAACTAGGAGTATTATACGCGGCAAAAATTGGTCGAAATTGAAACTTCGAGGCAAAATCAGACTTTCGAGGCAAAATCAGAATTTTAGATAAGCCATATAAAATACCAGGGCAAGAAACAAAGGAACCAGTCTTGTTCAATAGATATTACCCAAATGTCAATCTTCATATTGTGCTGATAAACAATTTCACAATCGGTTCTTTCTTTAGATTTAAAGATATGCTCCCTGTCCGTGTGCGATCGTCCCTGGTTTATCAATATGCATCTTCGTACGTCGGGATGACGTCACGCAATCTTTATTCCAGGGTCGCTGAGCATAAGGGCAGGAGTTGTGGGACCGGACAGTTGCTATCGCGCCCCCCCACCTCATTCGGTTGTACGCGCTCACGCCGAGCAGTGTGATGTCCCTATTTCTGACAGTGACTTTAGGGTGTTAGCTTTCACCTCTGGGACTTCCAATTTGCGCATTTTATAATCATTGTACATCTTTAAACTTAGGCCCAGTTTGAATTCAGCTGTTAGCCCCTATCCCCTTGAAATTGTGAATAGATAGTTTTTTGTGCTCCGTCTATTACTTGTAAATTGAGGTTTTTAATTTCGTTCTGTGCTTTCAATGTATTAATTTGTGACCTCTGATTTGTGATTCTAGATTCTACGCACTGAAGATGGAGCTGGTCTCCAAAACGTTTTCTATAAAGATATGAAATTTTGTGTACTATTTTTTTGCTTTTAAATTCTTAATATACTAAAGATACAACGCCTTTCTCTCCCACGTAAATGCATCGTCAAACAAAATACTGACTTGTGGTGTCATGTTACTCTAAACTCTTGTTAAATAATACCCGCTAATATATTCAATACTTGACATGTCCCACGGTCCCTCGCTATACCCTAGCCTGCACTCGGTTGTGGGAGTAGGGAACGACGCGCTTAAATGGTGAGTATCTTACTCAAGTAGATTAGTATCTTATTCAAGTAGATGAGTATCTTACTCAAGTAGATGAGCATCTTACTCAAGTAGATGAGCATCTTACTCAAGTAGATGAGTGAGCTAGGACGGTCGTCCGTGTTCATGTCGTGCCAAAAACTTGAGCATCAGTCTAGTGCAATCAATAACGTAAGCTAGTGCAACTATTGGCATATGCTAGTGCAGTCAAGGATATACAGGAAAATGAGATTTGAAACCTTTCTCTGCTCCTTACAATTCTCTTCACTCTTTACCATTATTATTTGATTAAAATATTTGAATTGTAGTTTGGCGTAAACCATATTTCGTATATCCAAGACTCAGAGCTAAATTATTGCGTTTGAATTTTACGGACTAAAATTCAGACGTCCTGAATGCTTCGCGCGCCAAGCTTCATTGCGATGCTTCACGTTCACCAGCATGAATGCTTCGCGCGCCAGGCTTCATTGTGATGCTTCATGTTCACCAGCATGAATGCTTCGCGCGCCAGGCTTCATTGTGACTGTCTCTTATACACATCTAGATGTGTATAAGAGACAGGTAGAGAATTCGCATTCGGGTGGTGAATGCACTATCTGCTCTTGCGTACTCTTTCTTCATTTCGTTGTAACCACTGCCCACTTATTCATTCCAACGCAAGGCTCCGATCGTCCAGAATCATTTGCCTCGGCGAAGACACTTTTCTTTTCCATCGCTCCTTGGCCTGTTAGAAGCTGTTAATCAGCCGTGATTTTATTCTCCTCTCGGCTACAGGTACAGAACTGAGCGACTGTGCACTAGATCTCCGTCCTTCCCACATAGCCTATTAATTTAGCGGGTCGAGCCTAACTTCCTAATCCCCGTAAGAGTGCGATATATTTATTCCAATCTTCCTTCCTATCATATCACTTCTTATTAATCTTCAGTAATTTTTCGGCGCAATGATAATCTAGGCCAACGTCCGGCCCTCAGGCAATAGTGACAAGTCGCTACGTACGTTATTCGAAAATTTAAAAATTTTCTATCCTAGTTATGTTGTCGCGCACCTTCTCGTCTATACCGCTTATATCCTCGACGTCTCATTTTTATTCTAATCTATAGGGTCGACCATCATCGAATTGGTCTTTCTCAAATTCGCTTCCTCGAAAGAAAATACCGTATCCAGCGAAT